CTTATCATAACGACTATAATCCTGTTTACTCATCTCTTAAGTAATAAGCAACTCTTAAATAAATTGCATTTAATAGAGAGGTGGTAAGAAATACTTTCTCCATAACAAAAATACTAATTATGATAGAAAATCTCTCTTTTCTTTTAAGAAATGGATTCCTAATGGTCCTACCAAACAACTGCTTATCATATCCATTAATTCCTTTAGGGATTATAAATCATAACATATTTCCAATTCTAATCTACTGTCATCCTCTAAACTTTATGAAACTTCTTTTTGATATGATTTTTCCAATTTAATGAAATGAATCAATATTTATAACTCTCTTTCCTTTACAAAATAGTACTTATCTGTTTTGTATGTAATGTAAATGTAATCCATCCCTGGACTTCTAATAAACTCTTTCGGAGTTTGTCTGAGGTCTAAATTAATTTTTTGATATCCAAAATCTGGTCGAATGAGAGGGTTCTTACCAAATAATGGCTTAATTCCAACCAATAATGTCATTTTTTCATTCTCATCAGATAACTCATTCATTGTATGTTTGAGTAACAAATAAGGTACAGTTTTGTACTTTTCCCTGACTCCTGTATATTATTTTATGGGTATTGCAATAGCCCGATACCCTTAGTTCATTTTTTCAACAGGTCCTTATTCTTCATCAGCCATCACAACATCAATCTCATAGATGGCATTGTCAGGAGTCATAGATTTCTTATAAACTAAATAAATATAATTGTGATTGATCTGTGCCAATTCCGAATCCGTGGCCTGTACTCCCAATCCAACCTAGTCAGTCTATTATTTTTCTTGCTCTTATTATTAAGGTTATTTTTTATTATCCTTTTTGTCATCCTTCTTTTGAGTCTATTGTTATTATTACTGTTAATCCCCCTTATTTTTATTCCTAAGTCGTTTTAATTCAGTTCTCAGATTGGCTTCATTTATATCAATTTAAATCTTATCATAACCATTAGGAATGTTTGGATAAGGATTAGTACTAATCAATATGTTCACATCTTAAATGTATGGAACTTCAATTCTTCTATATTTACATCTGACATAAGCTGAATTGCTGATATCTTCAAAGACTTTGGTATTGCCAACATCATAAGCATGATGCGCTAATTCAATCTAATATTCTAATGGCAAGCCATCAGCCAATGCCCTCCATTCTTTCTCCTTAATTAATGAAGCCTCGAATTCTCTCCTCTTTTTGGTCATATCATTTCTCTCCAATTCATCCAATATATTTTTAGATTTAAATTCAACCGTCTTAGTGATTCTGTCCATTTATTATTCTAGTGCTATTGCAATTCTTTCCATATCATTTTTCAATAAATCAAAACTAACCTACACTAATTACTCTTTCAATTAATTGCCTACATGTGTTTATTTGACAGTATTCGATAAATTTGGTGGAGAGAATCGTAGAGATTCAATGATTGCCAAACATCTGGCCTCCTTATCCTATCCAAACTCTTCAATCTTCTTTTTCCATTAATCTACATTGAACACTCCGGCTTGCACTTTAAATTTCAACTCCAATATTTTAAGCAATCTTGTATTCTATTTTAGGATCTTATCCATGTAATCCATCAATGGTGGATCCATTTCTTCCAACTCTCTTAATTCTTATACTTTTTATAACCCCAAATCAATCGTCCTGTATGCGCACGCCTTTGATTGGAGGGAATGATAGATGTGAGCCAACTCAACATAGAGTTTGATCCTCCAATCCAAGTATTTAATGGATGTCAGCACTAAACATCCCTCCATTGAGGTGATACAAAATGCCAGAAATTCGATTGCGATATATTAGTATATTGACTATGTAATTATTAATGAACACATTACTTTTCTTAAGACTCTGCAAATATCAAATATATAAACTGTTCCATTATATATGAGATAATAATTTGAATTCTTATCCTCGAATGTCCCAATATTCAAAACTTGCATGCAATCTCTTAATGATGCTAGCAAAGATTTTAAGGATTATGCTGTGTCCTTTCTTATACATTGCGGATCTGATGCTGTGTATGTTTTAAATAATGTTTACACCTAAATTCAATGAAAACTGTTACTTTATTAAATTACTTAAGTGCTTGATCCTTCTATTCAGTTGCATTCTTGTAAATTACTTATGGTTTGTTTTCAATTTACTGGACACCTGCTGGTTGATCCTAGAATTTCACTCCTGGTTTTGCCTACGCCTATTACTTTTTATCAGCCATAATAATTTAATAAATGAATGGAGCATATATGGCAAATGGATTAATTCTTCTCAATCTATGTGGAGATGTCCTCTACATCATCGAACAAAGATTGAGAGCACAAGGCATTGATAAGGAAAAGGGTAAATCTTACAATCTATTCCCTTAGGATTGACTGTTCTGAATGATCTTGCCATCAAAATTTACACCCATCCAAATATTTAAAAAATGTTCACTCCATCTAAGACATTGTCAAACAATGAAATATTTTAATAGATTGATCAGGTTGTCCATTGTTCAATCATGAAGCTTAATGAAGATAGCTTATCAAAATTATTTGATTTGGTTATAATGACTTTGAAGTCCTATCTAATGAAATCCAATTCACCTTATGAAATTTATCTGTGCACACTTAGACATTTCGATGTCATACAAGACATTGGAATTAATGATTAAGCTATTCAAGCAGTTCTTTAATGTAAATAAACATTTATTGACAAATACTCCAAATTATCTTCCTTTGATTATTTGATGATTAGAGGAGAGATCATGAAATTGTTGGGAGGCAAGTTTACTAGAGTACAAATGTTTTTGAATGATAAATCCCAAAATCAAGATGGAACATTTTAGTAGAAAAACTATGGCTTATCAGGATATGGAGTTGAATAACCAGGATTAATTAAAATGGTTAAAATACCAGAAAAATATAATGTTGTTTTAGCTGTGTCATCTTAATTTAAAGAGAATCAAAGCACTAATCCATTTTCAGGACAATGTAGTCTGGGTGAAAATATATTCTAGAATAAAGAATCCCAATAATAAAATAAATAATAATCTATATTATCATCACAAAGCTCCCTTAAATCAGAATTGCTAGATTCTTAATCATCCAAAATCTAAACTTAATCATTAAACCATCTAGCTTAATTGATTCAAACAAAACCAATAAATTAATATGAAGACATTAATCTTTTCTATAAACCAACTGTTATAAAAGCCAACATTGATAATTAATAATAGCCAGTACTCAATAATCAAAATCAACCTCAACAACAAAGCCAAATTTTGAAACAAAATATTATTTAATAATTTGACGATACCAATAGTAATATATAATCTCAAATATTGTAAAATGAAGAGGAGGAAGAGGAAGTGGATTTACTTGCTTTGATGGACAAAGCAGCTTAGAAATGATAAATAAGATAATATTTAACATTTAAAATCTAATAAGTTCATCTATTTTCAAATTCAATTAAACATTGTAACAAAATTTATTATATATAATGAATCAGCCTTCAACTATTTTAATTTTCTTACCATGTTCCCAATCTCCTTCTTCCAACTTCCCTGTTTTATCAACAAAAAGTCCTTTTCCATGAGGATGACCGTTGTACCATTCCCCTTTGAACACCCTACCATCAGGCCAATAAAATTCTCCATATCCTTCTTTCAAATCATCCTTGTAATTTCCAATATATTTCTTTCCATCAGGCCAAACAAAAGTACCAAATCCGTGCATCTTGTTTTATATCCAATCTCCTTCATATTATCTTCCATCAGACCAAATTTATTTGCCTTAACCATTTATTTAATTATTTGTAAACATTCCCTCAAATATAGACCCATCAGTCCATTTATATTTGCCAAAACCTTCCTTAATCCCATTTATATAATTTCCCTAGAACATGCTTTAATCTGGCCATTTTTCTATTCCTTACCCATTTTCCAAATCCTTTTTGAATTCCCCTTCAAAAATAACTCCGTTTTCATAATACATAGTTCCAGAACCTTCTTTTTCATTCAGTTTCCAAAAACCAACCTTAATAATTATGCATTAGTACATATGTATCCCCTTCAGGAGTAATTAATCTTCCAAAACCATCTGCCATATCATCCTTCCAACTCCCTTCATACAAGGTTCCATCTGGAAATAATTGTTAACCTCTTCCACATCTCTTTTTATTTAACCATTATCCTTAGTATACAATCCCATTATTAAACTCCTATTTTAGAATGAAAAGAAGTATTTACAATAGAAGGAAGGTATTAAGCACCAGGAACTTAATTACACTAATCAAAGTTAAAAGGACCGAAATTATCTAATGATTTCTTTACAAAGGGATTTGTTGATTCGAATTTCTTATTAGTTCTTTTGGCAAGATCAACAGAAGGGTACAATTCCTATTCTAATTCAAGAACCCTTCTTTGTTATAAAAATTACTTATTTTCTAACTTATTATCCCCTAAAAACTGATTAAATTTTAATAGCACTGTGTTGTCTCTTAAAGTCCATTTAATCCTCTTCGAGAATTATTGGTGTTAGCACTAAAGGAGCGATTGGTCTATCTATTGTAGTATCTCTAGCACAACAAGTATTTCCCATTGAAAATTATATTAAATAGCAATATATTTCTTTTAAATTTTATAATTGAAGAGATATTTGTAATTAAAGAAATTAGTATTAATATTAGCTTTTAATCATCCAGAAAATATCATTATAACCATTCAAATGATTAAGTTTAAATTATTCCATTTGATAATAATATCATTGTTGACAGAATTAAAATTTGATATTAAGATTAGTGTATTTATTTAATAAAATGCAGAATACATCATTTTATTACAAGATTTGAATTCATAAAATAATAACTAAAAATTCTTTAATTGATTTTGACAAATAGTAACCAACAAATATGCATTCATTATTACTTCAATAATTATTCTCAAGAATGATGATTATTTGAAATTATTCTTAAAAACAATAAAATTGTATTTTTAATTACTCTTTTATATTTATATTCACTATTCATTTTCTTTATATTAATAAATCTAAAATTCCAATGACTAACCGTTCCAAATTGCCAAATATTGACCATCATCACTTGCATGCCCATATAAATAACCGATGGTATCAGAACCAAAGTCAATAGATTATTCTACATTAAATTCATTAGTTTAGTTATTGTTCTAATAATACCTAATAAAATTTAAGTAGGAACCATTTTTGCTAATAAGTAGGGATTTTTGATTAATAAATTGCTATGGAAAGAGAAATCTGCAATATGAATTACCTCCTTATACTGCAACATCTGTTAATTTGGCAAATTCTCCATTTTCATTTTTTTCATAAACTTCCAAATGTTCTCCTGCCTTTGGTTAAAAACTAAATATTTTGTCATTGATAAAGCAGACTCGATATCCTGCTTAGGTAGTCTTGAGCTTTTGAGTTACTTACCATACATTCTACTTTTGTTGTTCTATAATAAATATTGTTGAATCCCCATTACAAGAAATCAATTATGTTTAGGATTCATTTAGACTTAGACTATAAACATGGCTGTTAATTCCTTCATCAATTGTTTAAAAACAAATCCATTCTTGATTTTATTAAGTCCAAAATTTAATGCTCTTATCTAATCCACTTGAAATGATGAGATCTTCTTCCTTATTTATTATTAATGCCCAAATAGAAGATGTATGTCCTAATAACTTTTATTAGCATTTCCATTCCTTATTGTTTATTGATTTCCATAATATTATGTTAGAGTCAGCATCACTTGAAATAAATTGAAGTGGGGTCTTTTTAAAAAAATTTAATGTATTAACATAACCAGTGTGTTCATTTAGAACTTGAATCTCTTCCAATGTTCCATTTTTCACTTCAAATACTCTAATTGAATATGAACATCCAGCTACTAGTATAGAGCAATCTACATTAAAAGCCAAAGCATAAGACCATTAATCTTGTTTAATTGGATCCCCTTTTGTTATTAATTCGTAATTAAAGGGCTTGAACAAAGTCTATTGAGTTTACATTTTATGAAATTGAATAAATACTCACAATTAAAACTTTTTTTGAAATGGATATATATTTTTGTTGATAGGTGTTAATTATAAAAGCGCAACATTTAATCTTTAATGCAATTTATGAATAATTGTCAAATTTGACGGAGTTTCTGGAAATAATTATTCTAATTAACTATCCAACTAGCAATTTCAAATGAATAAGATGCTATAAACACTTTTTAGTTTTAATTTTGTAGAAAATGTCTGAAAATATTCATAACTTCAATTGGCACAAATTATTATCTTATATAAAACAAGAATAATAGAATATTTTTTAAAATGATGAAAGAGAGGTGTTGAAAATATTTTGAAGATATATGAAATATTGTTAAATAAATAACTTAAGATCTGTTGGGTTCTCACATAATGCATTATCACTAGTTCATTGTTACATAATAATATTTTAATGACTATTAATTTGCTTTTGCCTAAAATTCAGAGGAAATGCTGATTTTTATATATTTAAGTGATTTTTGTAAAATTTCATTTCGATGAAAGGCTTACTACTAATCGTTAAAAAATAGGAATTACTAATCTGATTACAATAAATTGACAGGGAAAGATTGACTTTTAAATAAGGCAAGATGGTAGATAATTCTGCATTATTAATGAAAAACTTGATAGAGGTTTTGATTAAAAATATTTTCTAAATATACAATTTATTTAAAAATTAAGAAGTAAAAATATATTATTGATATTTTAACTCAATTCTTTTTTAGATAGAATTTTATTAATCGTAAGTCCTATTTTGGAAATACAATAATTAAAATTTATTTTGATGATATCCAATATTATAAGAATATTTAAATTATAAAGATATTATTACTCATTTAAACCATGAAATAATTATAACTCATAAAAGAGGCTCGTTTTTAGATTTATTCTTTGTATAACATTTATAACCAATCCCTAAAACGATCAATCCTCCTAATATTCCTAAAATAATCCATAATACTGTGTGGCCTTTATAATCAGATTAGTCCGAATCATTCCCTGATATTGTAAGGTCAAATGATAATCCTCTTTCTATGTAATCGTTTTTTAATGTAACAGAAACTTAGGTTTAACTAATATTCCCATCAATCAATAATTTTGGAGATTAGTTCACCTTGTATAATCTTAATTACCCATATTATTTTAAATTACTAATTAAATATAACTAATATTATCTTCTAAATTTTTACCTCATTTGCATATGTGTACATTTCTGTTTAAAAAGTTTCATAATAACCATATGAGGGATCTTTAATTGCTGCATAGAAGAAAACAGCTTAGTTTTTAGATTCTTTTTCCGGAAGTTCATATATCGCCTAGGTAAAGGAGCGAAGGCCTTAATTTTTTAAATCATACACAATAGAAACATATTTTTGTTTTATTAATACTTTTGGCAATATCAGGCTATGAACTTTGCTTGCTCCATAACCTTATAGTACGTATAGTACCTGCTCTTATATTAGGGCACATGAGTCAGATTTACAATCGAACTCCATTCTTATTCCATAGTGAGGACCTTCTGTAGCAAATATTATAAAGTCAACTTTATATATAGCATCTTAATTTTACAGATTAATAACTTTAATCATATTCAATTCAGCTGAGGGTAAAATATAAAATTCATTATTGAGTATATCGTATAGGTTGGAACTTATTTTATTAACTCTTATAAATTTTTCATCCTTAATCGTGTATTCCAATANAGAGAGGTGTTGAAAATATTTTGAAGATATATGAAATATTGTTAAATAAATAACTTAAGATCTGTTGGGTTCTCACATAATGCATTATCACTAGTTCATTGTTACATAATAATATTTTAATGACTATTAATTTGCTTTTGCCTAAAATTCAGAGGAAATGCTGATTTTTATATATTTAAGTGATTTTTGTAAAATTTCATTTCGATGAAAGGCTTACTACTAATCGTTAAAAAATAGGAATTACTAATCTGATTACAATAAATTGACAGGGAAAGATTGACTTTTAAATAAGGCAAGATGGTAGATAATTCTGCATTATTAATGAAAAACTTGATAGAGGTTTTGATTAAAAATATTTTCTAAATATACAATTTATTTAAAAATTAAGAAGTAAAAATATATTATTGATATTTTAACTCAATTCTTTTTTAGATAGAATTTTATTAATCGTAAGTCCTATTTTGGAAATACAATAATTAAAATTTATTTTGATGATATCCAATATTATAAGAATATTTAAATTATAAAGATATTATTACTCATTTAAACCATGAAATAATTATAACTCATAAAAGAGGCTCGTTTTTAGATTTATTCTTTGTATAACATTTATAACCAATCCCTAAAACGATCAATCCTCCTAATATTCCTAAAATAATCCATAATACTGTGTGGCCTTTATAATCAGATTAGTCCGAATCATTCCCTGATATTGTAAGGTCAAATGATAATCCTCTTTCTATGTAATCGTTTTTTAATGTAACAGAAACTTAGGTTTAACTAATATTCCCATCAATCAATAATTTTGGAGATTAGTTCACCTTGTATAATCTTAATTACCCATATTATTTTAAATTACTAATTAAATATAACTAATATTATCTTCTAAATTTTTACCTCATTTGCATATGTGTACATTTCTGTTTAAAAAGTTTCATAATAACCATATGAGGGATCTTTAATTGCTGCATAGAAGAAAACAGCTTAGTTTTTAGATTCTTTTTCCGGAAGTTCATATATCGCCTAGGTAAAGGAGCGAAGGCCTTAATTTTTTAAATCATACACAATAGAAACATATTTTTGTTTTATTAATACTTTTGGCAATATCAGGCTATGAACTTTGCTTGCTCCATAACCTTATAGTACGTATAGTACCTGCTCTTATATTAGGGCACATGAGTCAGATTTACAATCGAACTCCATTCTTATTCCATAGTGAGGACCTTCTGTAGCAAATATTATAAAGTCAACTTTATATATAGCATCTTAATTTTACAGATTAATAACTTTAATCATATTCAATTCAGCTGAGGGTAAAATATAAAATTCATTATTGAGTATATCGTATAGGTTGGAACTTATTTTATTAACTCTTATAAATTTTTCATCCTTAATCGTGTATTCCAATATTGTTGGGAAAAGTCAAATCTATTTTGATTATTTATAATTTTTGAAAATTATTGATCAATTTACTAAATCAATACTAGAAAATCTTAGTTTTTATCTGAGCAATAAATATGATAAAGATTGTTTTCGATTTTTTATATAGCTACTCCTTAATAAAAGTAATCAAAATCATCAAATGTAACCAAACCATAATTCTTTGCATTCTTTATATCTAAAATTTAATTGGAGTAAACTACTATACTCTAACTTTAGACAAGGTAAATATTATCCTCATCCATAAATCCAGTAATAATTTCATAATCTATATTTAACCAACTATCCCCTTCTTTACAATCAGCGTCTACACATTTTATTCCACTTATGAACACTGCTTTTCCCTATGTGCACTTAATTAAAATTTAAGATTAATATGTAGCTAATATATTTTTGCAATCATATCCTAATGTTAGGCTTTTTTGAGAAACGATAATATTTGTTTTTTTGCTAACAATTACAAAACTATCACTTTTTAACACAAATACATAATTTGTATTTAGATCAGCAATACTAATTGTACTATTTTAATAGTACTCTATTACTTATTCCATAGGATCTATAATTTCAATTTTTTAACCTTTAACATCAGGAACCTCTGAATTAAATTTACTAACTTCACCAAAATACCAAGTTCTTCCCATATCTTAAAGATAATTGTTTTAAACCTTTGAAGATAAGTTAGTAGTAATATTTAGTTTATTTGGATACACTTTTAAGTCAATATACGTATTTACAAGTCTAAAGCTTTGATCGACCAACAATTCTTATCCATTTTTATAAATAATTTAATATTTAACATTACTTATGAATGTTTCATCCTTAAAACTCACGTAATAAACCAAATTAGGGTTTCTTTCAATCTAATATATTTATATGACATCTTAATTGAATTAGAATATTCGATTTTTATCGACTGTAATATATTAGTTTGTTTAATTTAAATCTTAAATACAATGTAATGAATTATGATCTGTTTATTCAATTAAGTAGGATAATAAATAATACTTATTTTCTGACTCTGCTTTGAAGTGTAATAAATTTTTAGATGATACCCAATAGATGGAATATAAATCTGAAATTTTGAATTCATAAAATGAAGGAGATTTTTCAAAATATAAATTAGTGACCTCCTTGATATTATAGACATCAAAACTTATAATTCCATTTTCAAATTATTAAATCAGAGCAAACCTATCAACAAATGTAACTATTCTTATATCTTTTGATTCGTTAATTTTCATAACATAATCTAAAGTAAAATAATTCGGATTCAATGTCAGTATCAAAACTTCATTTTATTATTGGCCATTAAGGACAAATAGGATTTACTTATAATTATTGCAAAATAGTCTTTAAGGACTCCAATCAGATATCCCAAATTAGTTCATTGAATCAAAAGTGATTTTGTATTGAAAACTGACATCTTTAAAGCTATAAACTGCAATTATTTTTGAGGATTTTGAAAAAGCTATCAAATATTTATAGTTATTATAAATGTTGTCTATCTCATTGATTGGATCTTTATCAGTTAATATGATAGTTTTATTGAAATATTCCCCTTAATAAAATTAATAAAAAAATAATTTTTTCTGGTCTAATAAAGTGATAAATTTAAGAGTATAATCTTCATATTAGATAGCTGTGTTTTCAGAGGTAATCTTTAATGTAAGGGAAGTTTCATAACTTATAGTGCAGGCTTAAGCGATGGTAAAATAACAACTATAAATCTTCAACTCCAATTCCTAATTCTAAGTTATAATGACATAGTTATTATCTTAAGAATTTAACATTGAAATAGTTTATGTAAATATTATGTTTTTCAAGCTTAGCTCATCGCTTTCATATACAGTTTTTAAGTCTCCAGCAATTCCGATGTAACTTAAATTACCGCTTTAATATGAATTGCTATTTTAATTTTTTTAGAAGGATATTTATTACATGGGACCGTCAACTAATTTATTGATATGGTTTGAATAAGACTTTGGTAAATAAATAGTATCAGAAAGAAAAGGGGTATCAATAATATTTTCTTTGGAAACCAAAATAAGTTGTTTTGAATCACGAGCTACAGTTTAATATTCAATTGTCACTTAGCATTAGTTATATTTTAATATTCCTATCCCCTTTAATTCAGGTTGATTATTAATATATTAAATTTGATATTCAGATCTTCCTTAATAATGTTTGATATTTGTATTGCTTAAAACTAAAAAATCATTTTCTGTATAACCTGTTTACAATTTGCTAAAATCACCGGCTGTTTCATAGATTGGCATATAAGTGCCTAGCTGAAATGAAATTATTTTAGTTGAGGAGACTAAATATAAAAAATTGTTGGTCATATGAATTTTTGATCCTGATAAATCCTCAATTGAATTATATTCTTTAGTAAAATATCTTCCAAAAATAATTTTAGAAGGTTGTAATACTGCTAAAATGTTCGACTTGAAGGAATAATCAAATGATATTGAATAACCAGAATTCATTACCAAATAATCAAATTCCCAGCTGTCTTGATCAATAATCCACTTCATTGAAAATACATTTCCAAAAGTATCTAAAATTAGGATTTAATCTAATGGCCCTACTTTTACATCAACTAATTCAAAGTCATATTTACGCATTATAATATAATTTAAAACTAGTTCTTGATCAATGATTTTTTTTCTTTAGATTTCATTCTTTTATAAATCATAAGTAAATATCTCTATATAGGATGGATTTTCACTTGAGTGAGTGGTTATTCGGTAGATATAATTATTTGTGCTTAGAATGTATCGCTTTTAAACTGTCAACAAAGGATAAGAATTATCAATCTTTATTATTTCTTCTTTATCTTAATTGATTAAATAAAATTGATTATTTAAGTTTCCAGCGTCAACTTAATAACAATCTATGAGAAAGTGTTTTGGATCTAAAATTATAGATGATTGACAATTCACTTAATTTGCTTTTCCAATAATTTTGTTAGAATCAAATTTTGGCATTCTTCCTTGAGCACCTGCTACAAATTATTCTGTCCAAATCAAAATTAAATCATCTTCATTATTAANGTAAAATAATTCGGATTCAATGTCAGTATCAAAACTTCATTTTATTATTGGCCATTAAGGACAAATAGGATTTACTTATAATTATTGCAAAATAGTCTTTAAGGACTCCAATCAGATATCCCAAATTAGTTCATTGAATCAAAAGTGATTTTGTATTGAAAACTGACATCTTTAAAGCTATAAACTGCAATTATTTTTGAGGATTTTGAAAAAGCTATCAAATATTTATAGTTATTATAAATGTTGTCTATCTCATTGATTGGATCTTTATCAGTTAATATGATAGTTTTATTGAAATATTCCCCTTAATAAAATTAATAAAAAAATAATTTTTTCTGGTCTAATAAAGTGATAAATTTAAGAGTATAATCTTCATATTAGATAGCTGTGTTTTCAGAGGTAATCTTTAATGTAAGGGAAGTTTCATAACTTATAGTGCAGGCTTAAGCGATGGTAAAATAACAACTATAAATCTTCAACTCCAATTCCTAATTCTAAGTTATAATGACATAGTTATTATCTTAAGAATTTAACATTGAAATAGTTTATGTAAATATTATGTTTTTCAAGCTTAGCTCATCGCTTTCATATACAGTTTTTAAGTCTCCAGCAATTCCGATGTAACTTAAATTACCGCTTTAATATGAATTGCTATTTTAATTTTTTTAGAAGGATATTTATTACATGGGACCGTCAACTAATTTATTGATATGGTTTGAATAAGACTTTGGTAAATAAATAGTATCAGAAAGAAAAGGGGTATCAATAATATTTTCTTTGGAAACCAAAATAAGTTGTTTTGAATCACGAGCTACAGTTTAATATTCAATTGTCACTTAGCATTAGTTATATTTTAATATTCCTATCCCCTTTAATTCAGGTTGATTATTAATATATTAAATTTGATATTCAGATCTTCCTTAATAATGTTTGATATTTGTATTGCTTAAAACTAAAAAATCATTTTCTGTATAACCTGTTTACAATTTGCTAAAATCACCGGCTGTTTCATAGATTGGCATATAAGTGCCTAGCTGAAATGAAATTATTTTAGTTGAGGAGACTAAATATAAAAAATTGTTGGTCATATGAATTTTTGATCCTGATAAATCCTCAATTGAATTATATTCTTTAGTAAAATATCTTCCAAAAATAATTTTAGAAGGTTGTAATACTGCTAAAATGTTCGACTTGAAGGAATAATCAAATGATATTGAATAACCAGAATTCATTACCAAATAATCAAATTCCCAGCTGTCTTGATCAATAATCCACTTCATTGAAAATACATTTCCAAAAGTATCTAAAATTAGGATTTAATCTAATGGCCCTACTTTTACATCAACTAATTCAAAGTCATATTTACGCATTATAATATAATTTAAAACTAGTTCTTGATCAATGATTTTTTTTCTTTAGATTTCATTCTTTTATAAATCATAAGTAAATATCTCTATATAGGATGGATTTTCACTTGAGTGAGTGGTTATTCGGTAGATATAATTATTTGTGCTTAGAATGTATCGCTTTTAAACTGTCAACAAAGGATAAGAATTATCAATCTTTATTATTTCTTCTTTATCTTAATTGATTAAATAAAATTGATTATTTAAGTTTCCAGCGTCAACTTAATAACAATCTATGAGAAAGTGTTTTGGATCTAAAATTATAGATGATTGACAATTCACTTAATTTGCTTTTCCAATAATTTTGTTAGAATCAAATTTTGGCATTCTTCCTTGAGCACCTGCTACAAATTATTCTGTCCAAATCAAAATTAAATCATCTTCATTATTAATAGCCAATAATTAATATTTATTAAGCAATTGAAATTATGGCGAAGTTAATGCAGAATACGATATTATCTAATTGACTAATAAAAATCAATAATATTTGTTACTATTTCGAGGCATTTCTATTTTTGTTACTAGTGAAATTGGATTCAATAAAGAAAGTTTGCTATTTTCATCTCTCAATGTGACCACATCTTTATATGTAATTTATCCAAAGTAGTTTCCTAAATCTTAAACTATTTTTTCATTTTCCTTTCCAACAATTTTAGTATAATCTTAAGGAAATACAGAACAATGTTTGCACAGACTCAATAATGCAAAACTAGCAAGAATAATCAGAAGCATATATAAATTTGGTATTTCTATATTTGAATATGTTCAGAATATATAAACCTAAATTAATCTACAAATTTATTATATATAGAGTCATTAAAATTTTTGAAATTTTTTTCAAGAATAATTTTCATCATTCTTTTTTTTTTTGCAAAAAGCAGGTAAAAAAAAGATTTCTTTGAGAATTCAATTAATCTCTTCTTTATGAAATCATTCAAATACAAATTATACTTTTTACTTTTACTTCTGGGAAAAATGTTGAATGTGGATTTATGAGAATTGGATTAATTAAGATAGGAATTCTATTCAGACTTACCTTAAATAACATAACAATATTTAAAAAAAAACTATTTTTATTTTGACTATATGCTTAATTATTAATTCTTGCTTATTTTATCAATCATAACCTTGATTTTATGCTTCAAATTTTATAAATATGGGAAAAGACAGTTATAAATGACTAGGCTCAAATTCATTAAATAGTTATAATTCTACTTTTAGTCTTCTCTATTTACCTAAATTCAAGTTCTTTAATTATATTAATTAAAATAAAGCTGAGCTTTTTTGGATTTGAAGATGCTTACCCCAGTACAATTAATTATCTCAATAGAAATCTATAAGTGGTCATGCCTAAAAACCTGAAATTCCTTTAATTATGGCAGAAAAAAGTAGTATTTTTTTTGTTTACTTTGAAATCTCTTTGAAAACACACCAAGACCAGAAACTTTGAACTATAAAATTCCCAAAAAACTAAGAAAATAAATTGTCTTTTTCTAAAACACCATTTATATCCTCTCTAAAAAATAATTTTTCTTTTTGGAAAAACTCAATTAGGGATGATAAAATTTAATTCAATGAGTAATTTGAGATTAATATTTACTTTAATTTATTTTTTCTTAATAAACCCTTTTTTGTTAAAAAATTAGAAATTATATTGGCTCACTAATTGCTAAATTAATTTGCTAATAAGTTAATAGTTACCCGTTTGATGAAGAAGGTTGATGGTGTGTTTGTTATAAAAATAATCTTCAAATTATTGATGGTAAAGCAGTTGTTATTGAATTGAAATATATAAGAGAAGATGAAATTTACAATGAAGATGCTATTGATATTTTCAGATCATGAGTTCCAAATTTGTAACTCAAAATTATTCGATAAAGCAAAATTCTGATTAATGCTAAAAATGATTAAAGATTATTATGATAAGAATTGTTGGAAAAAATTAGTTAAAATTAGGATCTGATATTTTAAATAAGAGTGGCATTATGAAATAAAATAAATCATTTTNATTTCTTCTTTATCTTAATTGATTAAATAAAATTGATTATTTAAGTTTCCAGCGTCAACTTAATAACAATCTATGAGAAAGTGTTTTGGATCTAAAATTATAGATGATTGACAATTCACTTAATTTGCTTTTCCAATAATTTTGTTAGAATCAAATTTTGGCATTCTTCCTTGAGCACCTGCTACAAATTATTCTGTCCAAATCAAAATTAAATCATCTTCATTATTAATAGCCAATAATTAATATTTATTAAGCAATTGAAATTATGGCGAAGTTAATGCAGAATACGATATTATCTAATTGACTAATAAAAATCAATAATATTTGTTACTATTTCGAGGCATTTCTATTTTTGTTACTAGTGAAATTGGATTCAATAAAGAAAGTTTGCTATTTTCATCTCTCAATGTGACCACATCTTTATATGTAATTTATCCAAAGTAGTTTCCTAAATCTTAAACTATTTTTTCATTTTCCTTTCCAACAATTTTAGTATAATCTTAAGGAAATACAGAACAATGTTTGCACAGACTCAATAATGCAAAACTAGCAAGAATAATCAGAAGCATATATAAATTTGGTATTTCTATATTTGAATATGTTCAGAATATATAAACCTAAATTAATCTACAAATTTATTATATATAGAGTCATTAAAATTTTTGAAATTTTTTTCAAGAATAATTTTCATCATTCTTTTTTTTTTTGCAAAAAGCAGGTAAAAAAAAGATTTCTTTGAGAATTCAATTAATCTCTTCTTTATGAAATCATTCAAATACAAATTATACTTTTTACTTTTACTTCTGGGAAAAATGTTGAATGTGGATTTATGAGAATTGGATTAATTAAGATAGGAATTCTATTCAGACTTACCTTAAATAACATAACAATATTTAAAAAAAAACTATTTTTATTTTGACTATATGCTTAATTATTAATTCTTGCTTATTTTATCAATCATAACCTTGATTTTATGCTTCAAATTTTATAAATATGGGAAAAGACAGTTATAAATGACTAGGCTCAAATTCATTAAATAGTTATAATTCTACTTTTAGTCTTCTCTATTTACCTAAATTCAAGTTCTTTAATTATATTAATTAAAATAAAGCTGAGCTTTTTTGGATTTGAAGATGCTTACCCCAGTACAATTAATTATCTCAATAGAAATCTATAAGTGGTCATGCCTAAAAACCTGAAATTCCTTTAATTATGGCAGAAAAAAGTAGTATTTTTTTTGTTTACTTTGAAATCTCTTTGAAAACACACCAAGACCAGAAACTTTGAACTATAAAATTCCCAAAAAACTAAGAAAATAAATTGTCTTTTTCTAAAACACCATTTATATCCTCTCTAAAAAATAATTTTTCTTTTTGGAAAAACTCAATTAGGGATGATAAAATTTAATTCAATGAGTAATTTGAGATTAATATTTACTTTAATTTATTTTTTCTTAATAAACCCTTTTTTGTTAAAAAATTAGAAATTATATTGGCTCACTAATTGCTAAATTAATTTGCTAATAAGTTAATAGTTACCCGTTTGATGAAGAAGGTTGATGGTGTGTTTGTTATAAAAATAATCTTCAAATTATTGATGGTAAAGCAGTTGTTATTGAATTGAAATATATAAGAGAAGATGAAATTTACAATGAAGATGCTATTGATATTTTCAGATCATGAGTTCCAAATTTGTAACTCAAAATTATTCGATAAAGCAAAATTCTGATTAATGCTAAAAATGATTAAAGATTATTATGATAAGAATTGTTGGAAAAAATTAGTTAAAATTAGGATCTGATATTTTAAATAAGAGTGGCATTATGAAATAAAATAAATCATTTTACTACAGTTAATAAATATTGCACAAAATTAATATATTTTATCGACTAAATTGAAGCTCTAATTAGAGAAGTAGATCCCGAATAATTAAGTGAATCTAAAAAGCAAAAATATTGATTATCGAAAAATTACAGGAAAGAATTTATAAAAATCATTAGCTCTAAAGGAATTACGCGAGATTAATTTTCATTATTAAATTTGAATTTATAAATATTGTTAATAATACAAAATTGAATTAGATTAATGATTAGGTATAGACTAGATCAGCATATCTTTTTGAAATTTACGAGATATATTAGGATTCAATCCCAATATGACTTTCAGAAACCTTCCCTTTAATTGAACAAGGCACAAAAGTTAAAAGATTGGATGGATCTTAAATATATTCGTGGTTTTTAAGTGCCATAAATTTTGCAAAATAAAATAACATTATAGACTCTGGTTTTTTTTATTAAGAACAATTTTACTATTCAATAAAATGTAGGAAAGTAATTGTATACTTCATTTATTCACTGAAACAAATAAAGATTTGTAACCACTTTTGATATCAAGAAATATAAAGTTGCTTGTGACATTTGTGGTATTATAAATGCGGAATACCCTTAAATATTCTTTATATGAACCAGAGAGTTAATGGAGATTTGAACATTTAGAGATGAGTTATACCACAACTAAAATTGTTTATAGTGGAACAATATTTTTGAAGTTTTTTAATAAAATAGTGCATCGAACCCCTTCGGCTTCGTTTGAAAAAGGTTCAGGATCTGAACAATTTATTTCTCTATCAAAGATGATTCAGGTGTCTAAGTGAAATTTTACTGTATCTTAAGAAATTTTAATAAGTAATTTATTGAATTGTAAAGTGAATAAGGTTAACTTTTGTTTTATTAAAAGAGTTTCATAAGGACGAATTTCATGTTTTAGGAAGCAAATATTCAAAAACCCTCAAGATGGCAATTTTCTAAAATATAAAAAATATTGGAGGACAAATAATAGTTAATAGTTGAAAAAATTAATAGAATAAATATGTGAATGTGAAATATCAGAATTAAATAATTACAAAAATACGAATGATGAAGTATTAAAAGTAATTTGCAATTTAATTATAAACTTTAATCATTAAGAATATAAAAGAAAGCTGATAAGTCAATAATAATGTGATTATTAATTTTTAACAAAATAAATGAAAATTTTCGTTAAAGCACTATTTTAAACTTGGTCAGCAGTTAAAGATAAAATTAAATAGTAATAGCGCGACAGTAAGCTGAAACATCACCAATATTGCATTATACCTTTTCCAATATATTATATTGAATTTTTTGGATTTTTTTTATTGCTGAATCATAATATTCCAAAGCTTCTTCAAATCGGTTCATATTCTATAATGTATTCGCTAAATTGTCATCCATTTTGAATTATACCTTTATGAAAATAACAATCAGAATCTTCTGTTTTTTTGTATTGTTGAATCATAATATTCTAAAGCTTCTTTAAATCTGTTTATATTAACTAAAATGGTTTTGAATTCTACAAATCATAAAAATTATCATCCATTTTGAATTTTACCTTTATTAAAGAAATATCCAGAATCTTCTGGATTTTTTTGTATTGCTAAAACATTATTTTCTAAAGCCTCTATTTCCCCAATTTGACCTAACATTACTTTATTAAAATGTTGTTAGCTTAACGATATTTCTTAACGAAAAGAATAGTATTTTGAATTAACTAAAGTATTCTTTAAGCTGAATCCTAAATATCCTATGCAAATATTTTTTTCTTTGATTTTGACAAACTCATTTATTATATCTTCATAATTTTCCTTTTGATAAATGTTTCTGTTGTCTTTTTCTGCTTTTTCAATAAATTTTCTTGGTTTGGTAAAATACTTTAAAATTTTTTCACTTTTCTTAAAATGCAAGGGAAAGTCCTTTCCACCTCCATAATGAAAATTAAATTTTATGAATTTAGATATTTTAAAATCAACAAAAATGATATTTAAAGGACATCCTTATTTAAACCTAGTTAATTGTTTAATCAATAGGTCCCCAACTTTTTAAACTTGCAGTTTCTAAATTTTAAATTTTCTAAATGGAAGATTTTCATACATGTTTGAGTTACTGACAATTTAGAAATTTGGTTTGTATTCAAAAGATTCTTTGAGAGAAAGTAAGTTAGTATTTAGAGAGAATTTTTCAAAAAATCATCTAATCCTTACCTTGGATTTGGTGTATGACCTTTAGTATTTATAATTTTTTCAATAGAATAATTTCTAGAATTATTTTATCTTCATTGAAAACCCTTTAATCCTAAAGGGGTTTGTAATAGGGGTTTGTAGTATGACTTTTTTTGAGATTTTTGGAGTAGAAAAGATTCTTTGCAAGTAATTTAGAGAATTATTTTTTTGTTTTAAGAAAAAAAATTCTCAAAATTTTGAAAAAATCAAGACCTTCTGGACGAGAAGGCTATACTCATCTCTTTTTTGGGTTGCTAACCAGGAAATTTTGGTGGAATCCCGACTATTTTGCTTGACTCGTTCTGCCTGTTGCTAGGGTGATTGCCCAATCTTTTAGTCTAGACCTTGTCTGTATTGCTTGACTCGTTCTGCTTGTTGCTAGATACCCAAATACCTTTATTTTATTGCTTGCTAATTAGGTAAAATTTATACCCAAATACCTTTTTTTGATCGCTTGCTAACAAGGTCACAAGATCTACTTAACTATGTATGATTTAATATATTATAAGTCGAAGTAAAATTAAATGAGTAATATTTAGGTATGGTATAGGTTATGAGATGAATAGATGTTATGATGATATTAATGTAGTCTTAGTGTAAAGACTAGAAAATAAAAAGCCAAATTAAATGTCCATTCATTAATTGTTACTTTTACACAACATTGAATTATGATCTCTAATCTATTAGGGGTTAGAATACTTATTGATGATTAATTTACCTTTTCATTCCTTTATTCTATTTAATACTGTTTTATCAATTAAAATAATAATTAACAGGTTACGAAAATATTACCTAGATTAGAGAAGAGTGATTTTAAAAATCATTCATCCCAATTTTTAACTTTGTTTCATTTAAGATTATTCTAAAATTAAGGATATTTTTTTTTAATTTTTGAAATGTAACTTTCTTCTTAGCTTTGTTCTTAAATGTATTATTATGTTTATTATGAACTGAAAATCTAAATTATACTAAACTATTAGTAATCATAATTAGCTGTTTACTCTGTTTATATTATAAATTTAATAGTGTATTTTTCGTCTATATATATTAATTTATAAACGTTGTATCTAACATCTAAATATAATTCAAATATTTAAATACAAAAAAAAAACACATATTATTCAAAAAAGTAATAAGAAAATGATTTAAATTATTTTTGTAATGTTTTTAATGAATATTCAATCACTTTTGCTTTAAGTCTTCTAAAAAGCAACTACCCTTTGATTTAAACAAAGGTTTTAAATCTTTCCCTTAATGATTAATGAATTGTCCTTATAGGATAAGTGTTCCTGATGCTTCTAAAATAGGATTCTAACATATTCTAAGTATTGTACGATCAGGATTAACTAAATAATAATTAACAATAAATACTATTTGGCAATAAGGAGGTATTGTGAAGAGGTATGTTAAACTAAGCAAGCAAATCTGATTGAAGTATTTCCTTTTATGTTTGTACATTCCAAAGACGGATAGAGTTATCATCACTACTAGAAGCTAGTGTATTTCCATCAGGGGAGAAATTGACTGAATTAACTGTATTAGAATGATTATAAAATTTGGCTTTTTATTATCCTGTCTTAACATCCCATAAACGGATAAAGTTATCTTCACTACCAGATGCTAATGTAGTACCATCAGAAAAGAAACAAATTGAAGTAACTGCATATGAATGACCATCTAATTTGGCTTCTTATTATCCTGTCTTAACATCCCATAAACGGATAGAGTTGTCTGCACTACCAGATGCTAATGTAGTACCATCAGGAGAGTAACAAATTGAAGT